TCAATGATTGTACTGAATTGAATCGTATTTTCTTAATATGGTCCACAGACTGAAATAAACAATTATTATTTACTTTATTCTTCTCAGCTTGTTAGCTGGTTTGAACCACATTTACGGACCTAAGTCAAGTAAATGCAGTATGGCGTGTATCTACGAGTATGTGGTGGGTGTGTAATAAGATCCTACTTCGTCCTCTTCCATCTGCATGAACTTTCTGACGATGCGGCATGTATTTAAAGTCACAGTTTATTGTTATTATTAGCACTAAAAAAATATTTGATCAATTTTATTCATTTATATGGACAACTCGCACTTGGCCAAATAATTGACTATGCGATTATATTTTTATTCAATTGAAAGATAGTTTTATTACTTTATTTATAGCAGTTTTATTATTTGTAAACTTATTGTTACCACTTAAAGTAGGTCATCTAAAGCCTTACTACGAATGTCATATGACATGTACGGGCAATGATATTATACTTGTAAACAATATGCTCACTGTGTATGGAGTGTTTCTGTTTAACATTAAAATTTTGGATATTTCCAGTATTCTTTTTAAAAAGTTATTCATGTCCATTTACTTATTAGGTAACGTAATTTCGATATCTCTTATATTTATGAATAAATAATCCCTTGGGCACACTTAACGCTTACACCCTGTATATGTTCAGATATCCTTCGTATCTTATTAAAATGCCAACGATTTGAAGTTGCAAAATGACTTAAATTAGAATTTTAATTGTGTTTTAATAATTGTTTTTGCTTAGGTGTAAATGTATTTATTATTTTTTTAGTGTGTCCTTTAACATTATAGGGTGTTGCCAAATATTTCACTCCATAGACCTCTGTAACTAAGTCATTTATTCATTTTGATTTGCAATGACATGTCATTGCAAATCATGGTAACTTGTGATTGCAAATCAAAATTAAATGACTGTTACATATGACACAATTGTGTATTCCGTACCTACTGAATAGTTTCCCTGAGGTTATTAGACGTGAACATAAGAAAAATAAATTTAAACGTCTACGTCTTTTATTTCAGCACTTGTTGACTAGTTTAGATTAATTATTAATAGTGTAATAGCGAGATTCATGTTTTGATCCCGCAGTCAAACTGAATAATTCAGTTTTGTGGGACTATGTTCTAGATTAAGAAAAAGTTTTTTGTAATTAATAAATAATAAATAAAAAATAATTGCTCGATGACAGCGAGTAATCTTAGTCAAGGTCGCAGATATATTTCAGGCTTAAAAGATAGAAAACGGCACCTTCGGCACTATATTGTGAAATATTGAAAGGCTAATTTTTTACAGGCCCCACAGATGTTAATGACAAAGGTCAATACTATTTGAGAGTCCAGCAGGAAATGACGGCCTCAAGCGTGAAACACACAGAGAGCGGGTGCTGGTCGGGGGCGGGTCGGGACCGTCCATATAAATATGTCATGGACAAACCTCACATTCAATCAAGTTTGACAAACCCCGTGTCCTTGCAAAAGAAGTCCGTTATCTAACCAGGAAGCTGCGAGAGTCCATTGAAATTAAAAAACATCCCAATGTTGTCGTCCATATAAATACACGGAATTAGACCCGCCGCGGTCCCGACCCGACTCGAACCCGACCCGCACCCGATTTAAACTCGTCTAACCTGCGCGTGATCATCGACGCAGGCGCCGTTGTCGAGCACCGCGGCGAGGTCGTCGCCGGCCTTCGCGCCGAGCGCGCGCGGCACCGCCCCTCGACTCCCCAGCGCGTCGCTGCCCACTACGCAGCCTGACGACAAGTCGCCCACCACGCTGATTCGTTCATATAAAAAATTATTATATCATAAACAAATTAGAAACAACTATCTTTCGGCTCTAGATCGCGTATGTTTTTTCAATCAAAACAAACTAACGTTACAGGCTCTTTGCAGGTCACACAGTTACGGCTGACAGAGATTGTAAAGTCATCAAACAATGTTTGTGTTTAATATACAGGGTGTCCCAAAACTCCGCCCGGGACCAGTGTTGCCTATTTTGTAATAACCCAGAAATTTGTATTAATAAGAAATCGGAGCCACTTTTTGTGAACTGACAATTCTATTGAAAAATTACGTCTTATACGTTTTAGGTACTTAAGTACTACGTACAAATTTGCAAATTTTAACAAACCAATGAAAACAATGCCAAAGAAAGCCCGAATTGCTTCAAGACAATAAATAAATGTGTTTCTTTTTTCTTGTAATTGTTAACAAATTATTTTAAGATAATTTTGACAGCTCATATTGTAAAAAACGTACCTGGGCCACCGTTGCAACTTATTACAAAAGTTGGCGCAGCTAAAAATGGTGTATTTTTTTCAAGTACGAGCCAAATTTTGGTTTCAGATTCGTATAGTCGGAGTTAGTACCCGATAACGATAAGTATAAATGAGACACACAGTCGCAAAAATGCACACTTCTCCTATATGCGAAACATAAAATTGGCATTTTGTTTTGTTACATCTTCTGTTATATGTACGTACCATGTTTTAAGCAAATAAACGAACTATTATTACAAATTATAGCGAGCTACGACGATTGTATGTTATCGTATCACCGACACGTAACAAAATCGCTAACAAACTAACTTTTCCAAATTAGTTCTGGTCTGGGTTTTCTTTGAATCCCAGGAGTTAGTTTCGTTGCTCTGTCGCTAGTGTGATTTTCCAGCGCACCATTATAAAAAAAATATATACGCGTCGGTGATACATTTCAATTAAGACAAATATGAACAGAGTACCGGGTGTGCACCACGGTTCGCAACATAGTGCGTTGTCAGACGAAACGACGCTACATAATCCTTTAGAATAACGTCCTTTTTTCTTTGATCATAAAGTTAATACTCACATAATCCCGCTACAATTGTCTGGCGCCATTTCGCGATCTTCTTTGTAGCATTCGATATTGACTTTACAGAGCCGCCCCAATCGGTCGCGAACGCCGCCCGCCATCTCATATGCCAACTGTTAGTTGAAAAATTGATTTAGATTTTAAGACTTGTGATTATTCACTAAATAATTACCACTATTACAGGCCTTTTATCACAAAAAAAAGTTTGAAATAATCTCAGAACATAGTACTATTGCCAAGTGTTATTGAGATCGGTTACTGGAAAGTACGCGAACCAGATTCATCGCTTAGTATGCCACCCTTAGTGTCTTGAAATATTGAAATACGACAATGACTGTACAAAGCAGCAAGTATACCATAATATGTACAACAGGTGGTTTTAGTTCCAAGTAGCAATTTCATCCAGACAACCTTAGGATACAAAATTTAGGAGATGCAAAGATGTCTACAAAGCACAGCATGAACATTGATGTACAGTTTAGTAGCTCGTTGTGAAACAGATCGTTCATAGAAATACTGCCAAGTTACCAATTCTACAGCCAAGCGGTAATGTGAACATTACTGCGTTCCGGCTTCAAAGGGTAAGGGTGCTGTGTGAAATTACAGGCACATGGTACTTGTCAACTTATGTCTCATGGTGAAGGGCGCAGTGGCAGTGCCCCTCAGATCTTTATGATTTAAAGCTCTGAGTGACACTGCAACAGTAAGCGTCCAGTTACACGAGGCGAAAGTTTTCGCGAGGCCGCCTCGCGGCGACCGCCCTTTTCCTACGCCTTCATGTATATTAATGCCGAATCTGACTTCTATTTACTAGGCAACAACATTTAAATTCCTCTGAATATAACCGCTCGGCGACCGCGCGATCTCTGCGCGGGTCGCTGCGTAGACAAAATTCAAGCTTGAGACGCTCATTTAAGTCAAAACGTAAAAGCTAATCAAATAGTATTTTGGCATGACAGCTAGATGCACGCGGTCGCCGAGCGGCGGCAACGCGGGCTCCGCGCGGGGTAAGCGCGATGAAGTTCGGGTCGAATAAATGCTCCCTTAGGGACAGGCGTGTCGCTCACCACCAGGCACACGACTTGTTCATACCGTCACTTTAAACTATTATAACTATTATACATTATATTATACATAATAAAATATTTTAAAAAACCTTTATAGGTACTTATATTATAAATCAGGTATATTTGTTTTTCAAACAAAACAACGTTTCGGGCCCTTTACAGGCACCATGTATTTAGATTCGAAAAATAGTTTCATTTCCAATGTGTAACAATCGCGAAAACGTAAAAAGTTGATGTAATTAGTCAATAGGCAGAATCAGCATTTCAAGGCCTAAAAGATGTTTATAGTCATTTATGTTTACATAAATATTTGTTTTTGTTTATTTTTACCTTAACAGGTAGTGATCCGGCGACAAAACTCCAACCATGTATGTTGAGGAGTGTACCTCTCTCCGTCAAATCGGCACCGCGCATCGTTTGCACGGGAGTTACTTCAATTGTAACGTGACCGCCTCCTCGCGGGTAGTAGCTGACAATGCAAGAAATGTTATTTAATGTTCTTATTCATGCTATTTTGTTGAAGGAAATATTACAACACATGCTAAAGTTATGCAGTATGATGGTGCTTAAAATTATAATTAATGTTATAGTTGACAAAGGTTTAACGCGAATATCAGCATCCGCATCCACGGATATTCTCCATAAATTATAATATCTTCATTCATCTATACTGATATTCATTGCAGATGTTCGAGTCATAATATAACCTAAAAGGCACGTTTTAATAGCTTACAAACCTTCCAAAAAAAGACTGTAAGCCATAAATGTAGCTCAGCTGTTGTTTTGAAAATATAACTTTGACAAAATTCTAGAATGATTGTCACAATGAATGTCACAAAATAATTGCAATAATATTTTTATACAATACCAAAGAAAGCTTTTATATATTCGGTGAGGATGTACATTTTACATTTTGTGTTTTTTTTTTAAAGACATAAAATCAGCATCTGCATCAGCATCCACTGATGTGTAAAAATCCCGCATCATTTAATTGACCTAACTTTAAAACTTTGATTATTTCAAATTATAAACCTAAAAAAATAGCAAATAAGTATAAGTTACCCTACAAACATAGTTTTTAACCAACCCTCTTTTATGGACATCTAATGAGAAGTCTGCACCAAACTTGTTAAGCAGATATCGGAAAACCTCGCCCATGTAGTCGATCTGTGGAGCCATGTCGGCGTTTGTTCCACCACGCAGGTCGAGTGTCACTGGAGCGCTTGCCATCAGTGCCACTGGCAGAGCCACTTGCAGCAATAGACTTATTGAGCTGACAACATAAATTCACTTTTATAACAAAAAACAACTCACGCAATGTAAAAATCTTGGTCATATTTAAGGTTTTAAAAAAGAATAAAAACATAATATGACCAAGATTTTTACAACCATTGTGTGTTATGTCAGCATTGTTGTCGTCAAATTTAATGTGTACAGCAAAAGTTGTGTACATTTGTAATTGTCATATGTATCAGTTCTAGTGTTATGACTGATTTTTATCAATTGTTAAATATATTTATCCTTTTATTAAAACACTATCAATATGATGTTGATATGATGATGTGTGATAATATAAAAAATATAAATTTATCTATGCCTAGTTGAATGTGGTGTGTATAATTTACCCGGCAGTCTTGGTGTCTGCTGTGTAGTGTCCGCCTTTGATCGTGCCTGGAATAAACTCTATCTCCGTGGACCCAATTTTTGCACCCTTTAATCTGGCCTGACACATTTCAGCTACCAACTCGATTCCTGTAACAAAATACTGTGGAGTATATAAACACCTCTTTTTGTAACCTAACCTCCGCGATTTGGCTCAGTTTCCATAGAAAAAACTCTTTTAGTGGAACTGCAGTGCCACCGTGTATCGTAGGGTAACTAACCTTTAAGATGTTGAGCGGCTAATCCTGGCTTTTTTCGGCCCGCTCTGATATTGTATACTCGAATTGGTACTCCCAGAACAGCGCTCAGTGATATAGATATCCTTAATATTTGCCCACCCTAATGACAAAATATTTAATTAATTAACATAAATTAAAGTGAATAGGTGAATAGTTACAAATTATGTGTAGTGATTAATACTTGCCCCTTCTAAGACGCTCCCATCTATGTCTAATAATTCAGACATATTTTAAATTTACTAACACAAATTTATTAAACACCAATATGTGACTCAAGTATTGCGAAAATTGTGAAATCTTTTCATTTTTCGATTACACTCAAGAAATACCAACTGTACCAACTGTTTATTTTGATTTTTTTGACATTGACAGACATGACAGTGAGTAACGTGTTGCCATATATCACAATATTTTAAAGACTTAACCGAAAAGTACGAATTGCGAATATAACATTAGGTCTTTATTATACATAAATAAATTACGTATGTCCATTATAATATTCCTTCCCATTCCTATGCCACAATTTTTATATCTTTAAGCTTATGTCCAGCAGTGGATGCGTGTAAGCTGATGATGATGAAGCTTTTAAGGGTCGTATTCCAGTACTCTACTCAATGCTCAAGTCAGGACTTGAGCATTGAGTAGAGCTGATTCCAAGCAGTAGAAATCATACTCAAGTTTTTGCCATTAGTGTCGTATTTTCAGTGCTTGAAATCATACTCAAGTCCCTGTCTTGAGCATTTAGTAGAGTTCTGGAATAAGACCCTAAGGTTCGTATTCTAGAACTCTACTCAATGCTCAAGTCAGGATCTGAGTATCACTTCAAGCACTGGTAATATGACCCTCAGGTTCGTATTCTAGAACACTACTCAATACTCAAGTCAGGACTTGAGAATGATTCAAAGCACTAGAAATCATACTCAAGTCCTTGCCATTAGGGTCGTATTTCCAGTGCTTGAAATCATACTCAAGTCTGCTCAAATCCTGACTTGAGCATTGAGTAGAGTTCTATAGAATACGACCCTAAAAGTAGATTTCCCTATTTTAACCACAGAATAAGGATAAGATATTTGTAGCACAAACAGAAACATCAACAAACACGCGAACAAAAAAAAATTTGAGCAACCATTTCGGTAATTAATTTCATTCACTCAATCAATTGCCCATTCATTCAAACGTATATTCCGCGCAAAATGTCAATACTCGTTTTGTTTTGAGAATAGCTCGAGAATATTTTGCGAATTTTATGCAATTTTCACTAAACGACCTAATAAATTATAATAAAACCGGTGCAAATTCGAACGTTCTATGTGAGTTCTGTAATTTTGTTTATGACACTAGCTATTCCATGGACCCTTAATCGACCGGCGCAGATTTTTATGGTTTTTAAAGATGCAGAGGAAACAAGGCTTCCCTGTTGCTAACTGCAATATAAAATTGGTAAATACAATTCAATTATTTACAAAACACCAAAATATTATTAATACAGGCTAAACTCGGATAACAACTGGATTATATATTATGCCGTGATTAGCACTGAAAACGTTTATGATGTTATGAGAGGAGACGGGCAACGTTGATTAAGAAATAATAATGTTATTCTCATTGAAGTATAAGTTGACAGACAAAGTGTTGAATAGGTCCCAGTTCTGATTGAGTATTATTATTAGAGGTCAATACTTTCTGCCTGCCCCAGTGGTAGGCCGGCGTGATAATATGTTTGTGGGCCTTTACAAATTATGTAGTTGCCGGCGACGTTGTCAGGATAATTTTATTTTATGTTGTGTTATGGTGCAAAATCCAGTGGTAGCTGGTGTGTAAGGGTCTACATTAATGACATTCATTTATTTACAAATTTCTTATGAAGGTAACTCACACTATAAGCTACTATGAAACAAAATAAACAAAAGTAGAAACAGAAGAAACCGCAATAGTTAAAGAACTATTTTATTCTCAAAAATTTACAATCCTAAAAAGATACTCTTAATTGCTCTATTAACATATGAAATATTTATAAAAGCTATAATCATGTAAAGAATTTATTTTTGCCTTTATGAGTTTTTGCCTGCCTTCACGCTAAGTTCACTAATAGTAATAAAATTTTGTCCGTTCAGAGTATAGGGTGGATGGTGAATGTCTATCTACGCAATCCTGCAGATCTTGGGGTTGTGTTTGACAGAAAGTTAAATTTCATAGGCCATATCAATTACGTTCTTGCAAAGACTTTACGAGCACCTACTTGCTTTACACAACATTTTAATACATGGTACCTTGAAATATGCTTTACCAGTTTTGATGTGCAAAAATTGCAGATACATAACTTGCTTTGGGCTGTAAAGACCTGCATATCACTTTGCTCAATATAATACTTACCTAAGTAACTAGTCGTCAAATTACTGATATTGGAGTTCTGTACAGGACACTTAGAGCCTATTCACACGGCGTGTTTTCTACGCGCCGACGATGCGCCGATGACACTCGTAAATGCTATGCAGTCGCAGCGAGTAAACCTCTGCACACGTTCACAAATTTAGTGGCGCTGTAAACGCGCGTCATCTGCGCGTATATGCGCCGCAGACGCGCTGTAGTCGCGCGTTTTGATAAGAGATAGTTGTCATTTTAGTTTTGTTTCTTAATTTCAATTAGTTTTTGAAATGAAGCAACTACCGGAAATTCTAAGTGTAAACTCCAGTGGAGTACATAAGCTTCTTGCTTGCAATGCGATGTTTGCGCGTTTGAATCGATACAAACGCGCGTAAAAAGCGATAAAGCGAGCTTTGAACGCGCTTCTCGCGTCCGGCTGAATCGCGTTTAATAATAATAATAACGCTCACAATCAACATAGCCCCGCACTAAGGAAACCCTGTGTCGCGGGTGTCATGGACACACACATAGACAACCACAAATTACACCTAAACTCACGAGAGAAATAAATGTAGGCCATACAAATATTTCTCCCGGCCCGGGAATCGAACCTGGGACCTCTGCGTGGCAGTCCGGCATGGTAACCGTTCGGCCACAGAGGCAGTTAAATTTTAAATAAGTTTAATAAGTTTGAATCTATACAAACGCAACAATCTGCTTTTTTAGTTTCTACGGCGCCGTAAACGCGGTATAAATTACGCCGTGTATATAGGTGTCGATTTGATGGTGTATTTTTTATACTAATTAAATAAATATTTGAATGAAACCCCAATGTGTTAGTGATATTCTTATAATACTGACAGTTGAGTGCATATTTATTTAGTATATTTAGCAGCTACCATGTATCAAGTCAGCATACTTATCGATGCAGAATATCGTTAGGTGGGCGCCCAAAAAACTTTGTTTGTCCAATAAGTGGGTAAAACAGGTACCTAGATGTTTTCTTTTGGCTCAAAATGCGACTAGGCCCGCAACAGAATGGCCTTCCGCAGAATCCCCAATCGCATAATTAAGACACGGACGACGGTGTGTGCATTGAATGAGCGTCATTTGAAGAATGTTTATAAAATATTAATAATTTGATAAATGTTCTAAAACAATTGTAGAAACAGTCATATGTGTTATAAAAAACGAATATGTTTTTAATTAAACAAAAAATCCGAAATCTGAAATGGTAGATATTTAGTAAAAATTTCTACTAAACGTTAAACTATTTATAGTCTCTGTACTACACACATCAAAAGTGTCTAGGGATCAAGTACGTTTAAGAGTATTGCTGCAATTAGTGTTGCCAGATGTCCCGCTTTTGGCGGGATGTCCCATTTTTTGACCCTCTCAGGATGCGTCCCGCCAAGCCCATGAGCGGGACGGCCAAAATCCCGCTTTTTATGCAATAGCTAATTCAGCGCCGTAGGCATTTGTTGAACGTGTGTCGACTAACGCGTGTGGAGGGAGTGCATGCAGGCAGAGGTCGCGGGGGCGGGGATATTCACTCAGTCGCGTTCGGGCCGTTGCGTCCGGTCTTTCATCAGTCAGTGCCGTGAGTGCTCACGAGTTTGGACGCGGACGAGGTTGCGCTTCGCTCACTTGCCAACAATACGCACTATCGCTATAAGGAATCGAAGACAAGGTAGGTAAAAATAACAAAACTAGCAAACAATTTAATGAAATGTTTATTTTACTATAGTAATAACTAATAATCGCATAAGCAAGCACTTGCCATTTAATGGCAAGTGCAAATGCATTATTATACAATTTGTTACAAATTGTATAATAATGCATTTGCCAACTTGTCAAGGACCACTCGTATTTTATGCATGTAAAAAATTATAACAGTAAACATTTAATTTTATATGATTTTCTTTATTTATTTATTTTCAGAAACCTAAGTGATTTTCATAATGAGTGACACGGAGTCTCTTGAAAGAGTACAATTTGACGACCCCGGTACACATTCTGGTTATAGAACTCCTAAAAAGAAAATAAAGCGGGCTTGTACTTTTCAAGACATTTGGCTAAAAAGTTATTCTTGGTTGAAACCTGCCAAAGAAAACGTTAAAGCTCATTGTACCTTGTGCCAGAAAGATTTTTATGTAAGTCATGGTGGAAAAAATGATATTAATCGACACCAAGGAAGAGCTGAGCATAAGAAAAGGGAAGAAAGTGCTCGGAGTACAACTTCCTTGAAACAGTTTTTAATAAATGACCAATTAACTAGCATTGAAGAAAAAGTGATAGCAGCTGAAATCACTAAAACATTTCACAACGTTAAACATAATTTATCGTATAATTCATTAGATTGCGAATCAAAACTTGATCGTGTTTTGTACGCAGACTCGAAAGTTGCTGAAAAATTAACACTTGGGCGTACAAAATCGAGTGCAATTGCACATAATGTATTGGGACCAGCATCGATTGAAGGTACAGTTAAATATCTACAAAGTGGAGTCTATTTTAGTGTTTCTACAGATGCGTCCAATCATGGGCCAATCAAAATGTTTCCATTGGTCGTTAGGTTCTACACACCAAAAACAGACGTCAAGACTTGTGTATTGGACTTCTATGATGATGCGAACGAAACTGCTATTGGTATATATAATAATATAGTGACGCGACTTAAAAATTACGATATTGATCTTAAATATCTTACAAGTTATTCTGCTGACAATACAAATGTTAACTTTGGAGACAAGCATTCAGTTTTCAAACTGTTACAGAACGATAACAACAAAATTATTGCAGTGGGATGTCCAGCTCATATATTACATAACGGCGTAAAACATGCAATAGAAAAATGCAAATTTGATGTGGAAAATATGGTGCTGAAGGTTTATAATTACTTTTCATACCACGCAAAAAGAGTACAGGCTTTAAAAGATTTTTTCGAATTTTACGATTCAGAATTCGCACCAGTTTTACGACATGTTACCACACGTTGGCTATCCCTTCTTCCGGCTATAGAGCGCTTAGTAAAATCGTACGAGATATTAAAAAAATTTTTTATCTCATTGGGAGAACAGGAATGTCCCACAGTTGTTTGGACTTACTTTAATGATGAAACAACGGAAGCGTATCTCGTCTTTTTTCAAAATGCATTAAACATTATACAAGAAACCGTGTTACAACTAGAAAGTGACAGACTATTGTGCTTTGAAGCGTTTAACTTACTCACTGATCTTAAGGAAAAAATAAACCAAAGAATTAAAGACCAATTTTTAGGATTTACATGTAACAATTTGATAAGAAAAATGACCACTGAAACAGGTATTACTATCAAATCAAACTGCATTTTGTTTTATGAAAACTTTTTAAAATATATAGAGGCACGATTTGATTTCAGCGAAAGTAATTCAATTAACATGTTTCAACCTTTTGCTCTGAAAGTAAATTTTGATTATAAAATGGCTGTTGAAATTATAGAGAAAAGAAAGATTATTACAGATTTCGATATGGATGCATTATACGAAGAATTCTACAAAATAAAAGACATGCTAAAATCAGCTGTTAATGATAAAAGTTCAAAACCTATCGATAAATGGCATAAAATATTTAAATCTGAAAATTTACCTAATCTTTCCAAACTGTATGCGTTTATGTCTTCAGTACCAGTATCGAATGCATCGACAGAAAGGGTTTTTTCCCAAATGGGTGCCACCTGGACTGATAAACGCAATAAATTGTCAATAGAGCATGTAAAAGCTGAAATACAAATAAAAGCAAACTTTCAAATGACTTGTGAAGAATTTTATAAGTTTGTCTCGAAAGAAAAAAATATATTGAAAGCAGCTAAATCGAGCTCTAAATACGTTCTCTCTAAGAAATAATTTGTTTGTCCTAATCAAAAATTATTAGTCGTTGATTTTTAAAAATATTTATATAATTTTTTTGTTTCAAAGTATGATTGATCTCGCAAAATAAGGCTGAAATAATTTTCAATATAAAAATTTATTTATGAAAATGGATGAAAATTACAAAAGTTCTTGACATTGTTTCTAAGAATAATAATAATTATAATTATGTTAATACATATCTTAATTTTTTACTGATCTCAGTATTGTTTGTATTGTACGGTAATAAAGATACTTACTATACATATAGGTGTTTTTTTTTACGTCCCGCTTTTTTCATCTCAGTCCCGCTTTTTTTACGTTTAAGTCCCGATATTTAGAAAAACAGATCTGGCAACACTAGCTGCAATTAGGGTTAATTATATTAACTTTTTTGTATCGCTATTGATACTTTTTAGTGAGTTTTAACATTTAAATAAGGAATATTGTTTAAAATTCGATAATAAGAAGAAAATCGATTGTCAATGTGGTTTTGTATAAAAATGAGTTATAGCGTTTTGACAAAATCATTACAATATCTGCATCGGAACCGAAACAATTTACATTATTATGGAGAGACGACATCATTTAACCCGAGAAGTGATGATGCGAGCCGTCGGAATGTTGGAAGCTGGTTCTAGGCAACGTGCTGTGGCTTTCACTCTTAACACTACACAGGGCGTCATAAGTCGCCTCTGGACGCGCTATCGCATGACGGGCAGCGTGGCCGAGCGACATGGAGGACGATCTCGCATCACAACTCGCAGACAGGACCGGTATATCCAAAATACTGCTCGACGGAATCATACCATGACCGCCATGATGTTGGTTACGAGGCTCCACAGCTCCTCAGGCTTGCTAATAAGCGATCAAACAATCCGAAATCGTTTACGTGAAGTGGGTCTGCGATTCCGAAGGCCGCTCAGAGTTCCACCTATTGCACCCTGCAATCGCAGGACCCGTTTACGATGGGCTCGCGAACACAGTAACTGGGAGGAAGAAGACTGGCGCTATGTGTGCTTTTCGGATGAATCCCGCTTCGGTATGAGACCGGATACAAGACGTACTCGAGTTTGGAGAACATCTGGACGTCATGAACGTTTGAGATATTGTCAGGATGTTCATCCATATGGTGGGGGAACAATAATGATATGGGCCGGTATTTGGATCGGCGGAAGAACCGATCTCATTTGGATCAGGGGTAACCTCAATGCTCAAGTTTACGCAGAGAGGATTGTTTCAGATGTTATCATCCCTTTGCGAGGCCAGTTGGGTGATTCATTTCAACTAATGCATGACAACGCACGTCCACACACGGCTAGAGTCGTAACATGCATTCTTGCCGAAGCTCGTATCAACGTTCTGCCGTGGCCTGCTCAATCGCCAGACCTCAATCCAATTGAGCACGCATGGGATATGCTTCAAAGAAGAGCTGTGCCGAGTATGCATACCGTACATACTCTACAACAATATTTTGACTTGTTACAAAACACATGGGCGGCCATTCCTCAAAGTGATTTTGATGAACTCATCTTAAGCATGCCAAATCGCTGTAATTGTGTGATTCGTGTTAATGGTGGAAATACAGATTATTAATTTTCTTATCTTTACAATAAAAATGAGCAAAATCATCATTTTCGCCATTTTTTTGTTATTTAATTGACCCCGTTAATTTGAGTTTTTTCCCACAATTTGCAAAAACATCAATTTTAGTTTATTTTAATTAAATATAGGGGTAAGCGGTTAAATAAAACATAAGCATTAAAGTAAGAAGTCGTCCTGGAAGACTGGATTTGGTAAATATTGCTTAAATAATTTTTATTTCAAAAATATTCACTTGATCCCTAGACACTTTTGATGTGTGTACTTATAAACCAAAAGTTATTGACGTTTTTCACTTTTCAGGGATCAAGTGAGCGATTTAAAAAATTATTATTCAAAAACAACCCACATTAGTGGTTTCATTTATACTTTACAAAATCATTTACGACTAAATCTTAGACATAAACGAAAATTAATTCTATTAGTTGGTTTGTAAGAAATCGTCCCGTTTGAAAGTGTATGGATTGAGTGAGCATAAGAGAGTATTTGTAAAAAATTTAATAAGACATTAAGCAACCTGTCATTAAAGACGATAATTTAATAAAACTATTACTAAAAACTATTACACAAATATTACATGCAAACGTAATACACTTCTGGAACAGATTGGCTCTGTGTGAGAATTGAGTGAGCACACATTAAGTCATTTATCTTTTTACAAATGGAAAGATTGATTTCTATATATTTTAGAACTTCTAGAGGTTGATCAATCAATGCACACACACGTGGCTTAATGCATGTGAAGACGTCCGAATGGCTGCGATCGCGGTTTGACTGAGATGGCTGTAGGCGGTCGAAGATATCCGATCGTTGCCAAACAGTTTGGTTTCACACCGCTTTCCGATCGGTGGTTCTTCAAGGCCCGTCGGTGGCGTCGATGAACAAACTGTGGTCTAGACGGCCGATCGCCTTAATGCGATAAGTGTCGTTGATAAGTATGGTGACTCTCTAAGGTATTGGAGTGGACTGCAGGTAGGCTATTACTTATAGTATGCATAACGTGATCATTATTTTTTAACTTAGAGCAGGGATGCTTGTAAATTTGTCAATAACAAATATTAAATTTAAAAATAAAATAGTTACGAGATGTTTAATGATTAAATTAAATTAAAAAAAAACTATAAAATTATTAATGCTCAAAAATTCAAAAATAGAATTTAATGTTGTGTAGTCTGGTGGGCTGGCTATTATGTTCATAATGTATGTAATTTTCGCTTTCGCACCATTAAAAAAAAATGTTACGTGTGTCCTGTTTTGTCAAAGCGGGATATTGTTAAGTATTTTGGGGACAGCGGGACACGAAGCTTAAAAGCGGGACGTATGGTCACATTAAGCATGCGGCTAGCTACTAATGAACGGTCTATATGAAGCTGATATAGTTAAATACAGGACTAAGGGGATGTTTCAGCCTGACAACATGCTGGGTACTGAGACGGTGCTGCTGGACGACGATGGGGAACAGCTGCAGCGTCGACAGCAGCTCATCAATTTTGCACATGCTCAGTGGGGCTTTAATAACTGGAGCTGGAGTGTCAGCAAGCAGGACTTGGGTTAGTTGTAGAGTCTAGGATATGATATATTTAAATTATATATGTATATAAAATATTTTGCACAAAAAATTCTATCATTTATCCTAATGAGAGTAAGGTTGCTTCTCAATTGAGATGTCGACGGTTGGAATCCTTATGGTGACATGTACCTTAACTTTAATTTCTGTTTTTTCTTTTTTTTTTATACTATACCTGATGTGACCATTACTCTTTTCCCTCAGAGCAGGACGACTGTAAATTGATTTAGTATTATTTTTTACAATAAAACACATGTTTATGATAGTTACGAAATGTTGAAAATGATTTTAAAAAATTAAAAAAAAAAAAAAATGTACAATGATCAGAAATTTAAAAATAACTAATCTTGTTTAGTCTAGTGGGCTGGCTTATTTATATTTTGCGCTTTTGCGTCATTTTTCGTATTTATTGTATATCCTATTTTGTCAAAGCGGACATTTTTAAGTATTTTCGGGACCAGCGGGTCACGAAGTTTAAAAAGCGGGACGTATGGTCACGTTAACTCGTTAACTAATCAATTCGTCTAGTAGGGCTAGCCCGATAAGGAGCGACTTGCGCGAGAGTGACATAAAGCGCGAGATCTATAGGCGAGAATAGCAGTATCTCGCGCTTTATGTCGCAGAAGAAGTTGACAAGTCCCATGTGCCTGTAATTTTACCAGCACCCTTATCCCTGAAAACCGTAAAGCAGTAGGTAATTACCACATTACTGCTTGGCGGTAGAAATAGGTAAAGTGGCAATACTTCCCTTTACACCTCCGTTTGAACCTCTACCGGTACTAAAATGTTCTGTGTCGTAGCAACCTCTTGCTAATAATGAAGAAAAAATAAAAAGTGTCTAAGTAGGTTCACAGCTCTTGGATAACGTGGAAGACTCCAATCCGCAATGGGCGAGCGTGCCGGATTATGACCTCCTAAACTTTCTCCTCACACACTACTGGACACCAGTTGTCCAGTATAGAGATGGGATGTATAGAGTTGATTGAGAACTGAGATTTTTGTTGTTTTCACAAATTAATATAACTATTATATTTTTTGAAAACTCTGTAGCCCAGCGGTGTACACTGAGGGCGCTATATGAGGAGTTCCTGGGTTCGAATCCCGGTAATACCAATTTTTCGAGTCTTTCATTACTGCCATACTCGCAGTACAGAGAATATCCAGTTTGAGACCGAGTTATTGGTGTTGTTTGATTGTTTGTGATGTTGTGTTTAGTAGATCAGTAATTTTCAATGAAGTATCTTTGTGTTTTAGATTTTGTGGATTTATCAAATGGGAAATATTGTGCCGGTGTGGTGGCCTTTGTGTCCGTGACGGTAAAAACCTTCGATATCCATCGAGAGAACATTGGTTACGCCACATCAGTGGCTCATAATAAAGGTTTAGCCATTTGGAAGTCCAGGAAGGTGAGGTTTGCTGTTGAATTTATTAAGATTCTGCCAGGGTACTTCTCTTGCGGGGTAAGGTGGACAAGCTAGAAACACTGTCCAGCGTCAATCTGTCTGTGCTGGACATGTATGACATCGACTTTCCGTCTTTGTTTTCAAGTGTAAATTTATTTTACCTATGGAATAAATAATCTTTGACTTTGACTTTGACTGTGGTACCCGCGCACTGCACTTGCAGTGCCGACAATGCTCTTACGTAAAGTTTATTATGGTGTTAAGTTCTTGGTTTTTCAGATTTTTTTACAACAGCATTAGCTGATTAATATAATATGACTAATATAGGTGCGCTCGCGTGGTGTGTCGTCCATGTAAATAAATACACGGAATTACAACCGCCGTGCTCCCGACCCGACCCGCGCCCGACCTGCGCCCGATGTCAGTGTGTTTCACGTTTAAGTTGTTAGTATTTTGTAAGTAAATAAAAAAACACTTTGCAATTTCAGTCCGCTGTCACAAACGCTTTGCGAGAAACTCTACTGAGTTTCGGCGGCAACGTGGCCACTGAGCTGCTGGAGGTGCTAGAGTCGACCAAGAGCGACGTAAGCCACCCGCCGGCCGCCGCGCCGGCTGCCGACCCGCCGGCCGAGTGCAGCGCCGTCAAGGCCGTGGAGCCGAAGAACAAGCACCTGCGCAAGGAGGCGGAGACCACCAGCCTGCGGCCGCCGCCCAAGGCGCCGCTGGCCGCCAACCTGCCGCCGGCCAACCGGCCGCCCGTCGCCAACGCGCCGCGGCCGCCGGGGCCGCCGGGCCCCCCGGGGCCTCCGGGGCCGGCGCCGGTGCCGCTGGCGCGCCCCAACTCCAACGTAAGTTTCGTGCTGCAGCCCGTGATGGGCGGCGTGGTGCCGCCGCTGTACGCGCCGCGCCTGCCGCCGCCCGGCCCGCTGTACCCCAACGCCTACTACGAGTACTCGGCGGGCCCGTGGCACTTCACGTACGAGTCCTTCGACCGGCACCACGGCAACGTCAACCTGAACTTCAACCTGCCGCCCAAGAACCTGGTGGTGAACGGCCGCGCCTCGGCCGAGTGCAAGAACGCGTGCGGCGTCCGGCCGCCGGGGCCCGAGGGCGAGCCGCTGCAGTACGGCCCGCCGCCGCAGAACCAGGGCTGCTGGATCAAGCCCACCATCTTCTACGACGGCTTCTGGACCGAGCAGAAGGTCAAGAAGTGGGTGACCGAGCAGGTGGAGAAGCAGTTCCCGGAGGACCCCTCGCAGAAGTCCCCGTCGCCGAGCAGCGGCCAGCCGGACCCCTCCGGCTCCAAGTCGTAACGCCGCCCGTCCGTAGATGGCGCGTCTCGATCTGCTTGTTTAGAATCTTGTCGGTTAGATGTATAGGCGTAAGCGTTTGATATCGCAGAGGAGTAAAATCTCAAATCTGGTAGTACTTTTTAATGCATTGTTGTAATGTTAACTAATGGAGAAGAATGGGTTTTGTAGTTTTCAAGGTAGTTTGAGCGACTCGTACTGGCGTTGACGCAAATTTGACTTGGTTATGTCAAGTACTGACGAATTTTTAGCCTTATTTCAAAGATGACAGGTGCGATTAACCGCGAGTCGTTTTGATGGTAAATGTATGGTTTAGACGTCGTCGTTTGTGTGGTATTTTTCTCAGATCTTGTTTTATTTATAGAATAATTAATAAGGTACACTCTTTGGAATTGCGATCTGTACATAGATATTTATGTAGTTTAAAATTAAGATATTGTGTGGAATCTATGCAGTACTTAGGTACGTTTTTACAGTAATAAATTGTTTGAAGTTTCGTCATGTTTAATTGATGCATTTGTTCGTTTTCGTTTGTGTTTTTACTTTTTTTTTTAAACGTACCGTTATTTTATTTCAATTTTCAACACTACACAGAGGAAATTTGTTTGGAAAAATTTCAAGTTCTCATACAGTATCGCCTGCCGCGGCGACTCGTGTTTTGTTGTCTAGGAGTCGCTCACAACACCTCTCGCACTCCCTCTTATAGCATTATAATCGACTATAGTCAGTCTTTTTTGAAGACGGAGTAAAATGACATTTGTAGGGTTGCCAGTTTTCATAAAATTTTGAATAGTTACGTAGTTGTTGTTGATAGTTTCATCGATAGATTGTGAAAGAAGATAAATTCTTCTTCCTTCTTTATTATTACTTTGACAGTTGGCTTTCTAGTCAATACTAGTATCGATATCAATTTTTAATTAAATTGAATTAAAATGAAAATAATAAAAATAATTAATACAGTGAATAGCGACATCTCTCGCCAGGACTGGTAGCTGTAAAGGTACTCTGGGTGATAAATCTTTCATAGATTTCTCATAGATGGCGCTACGACTAAAAAGTCGTTGATAAACTAAATACAAAGACACGACGCAAGATAGAAAAATTCGTGAGGTCCGTTGGTTCGTTCCGTGGCTTAGTTGGTATAGCGTCTGGCACTGTATGCAAGAAGACGTCGGTTCGAATCCAACCGGATCGAAGGAATATTTTCTGAGTGTTCGTTCTTTGTATTAATAATTATAACAAACTAGTGGAGTAATTTCACAAAAAATAATTGAATATCAATTCAATAAAAATTTAATTAAAATGAAAAACTTTAAAATATTTAGATATAGTGTATATTTGTATGAACTTACAAAAAATGACAATTCGAATGAACTTGGGCCCAGTAATTGAATGAATGGGTCGAGGATGATTCAAATGAAACAAGTTCGGAACAAATACAGTCGATAGTCGATAGAATATTTATCGACTGCAATCACTAGCTGCTCGGAAGAGGTAACACTTGCACAATAAACTGAAAATTTTACTTCGTCTTCCAAAAAAACAGACTGTAAATACAAGTCAATGCGATAATGAGTTGCGTCGTGTGTCGCCGCGAGAAACGTCACCTTGTGAATGGTTAGAATTATATAGGTTTATTATGAATACGTTTTGGTTAGCTTCGTACGCCTACCGCTTAACCGAGCCTGTTTCTGAGGTAGA